ACGACTTTGCCCCGGTCTCCCCTAATAAGATACATTGCAATTTTTTGTTAATATAAAGTATGTTATTTATTTATTTTATGTTATCTTTAAAATATATGTGTTATATTACTACTATTGTGTTATTTTATTAAATAAATTTTTAATTTGTAATATTTTAGTACTGACTAGGAGAGACCGGGGCTAGTTGGTAAACTTTTTTTAAAGATTCTTTTACACGTAACTAATAAATGGAATACAAGCCGCAAAAGAATTTTTCAATAGCCGCATGTTTAAACAACACAAAAATTATTTTTTTAACTAAATAATATAATTAATTTTGTTACATCAATAACAATTATAAGACGACGACATTTGTAACAACCAGCCCCATATACGAGGTAAATTGTTACAGTACGTAAAAAAGATCCAGTTTTCAAAGTATAATATATTTAATAAAAAAAAATAACAACATGTAACAATATGTGTTATATTACATTTACATTGTAGAGTACAAAATTATAATATAGATGGGACATTCCATGTCAACCGGATCAGCGCCGTGGCCAAAATTTGAGAGAGTTTAAAAATTTTTTTCAAGGTGCAAAATTTGTGTAAACATATTAGCTTTTGAATACCGAGCGCGCATTTGAAAAAATTCAAAATGGCGGTCAATAGGGAGCCCATTAACCCCATTAAATATTACATTTCATCCGGAAAATGACGATCCCTAGTCGCGACCAAAATAATCGTTTCACGGCTCAAAATGTTCGTACTCTTATGTACTTTCAAAGGTCACATGGCGTTTGCGGAAAATTCAAAATGGCAGATTAAATATGGCCGTAATGCAGAAATGTTACTTGATTTGGATGAAACTCGGTACTAGGGGGTTTTCGAGGTCGCTAATTCCGAATGTGAAGTCGAAATTTAGAAATTCAAAATGGCGGATTAAATATGGCTGCCAGTAATGCAGAAATGTCACTTGATTCGGATGAAACTCGGTACTAGGGGGTTTTCGAGGTCGCTGATTCCGAATCTGAAGTCAAAATTTGGAAATAAAAAATAGCGGATTAAATATGGCCGCCCGTAATGCAAAAATGTCACTTGATTCGGATGAAACTTGGTACCAGGGGGTTTTCGAGGTCGCTAATTTCGAATGTGAAATCGAAATTTAAAAATTCAAGATGGCGGATCCAATATGGCCAACCAAAATGCAGAAATGTCACTTGATTCACGTGAAAAAAATTGTTGCTTCAGTAGCGCCAAAATCTGTCGCTCTGAGACCGACAGGATAGTTTGAATGATTTTATGGTACTTTCTTTCAAAAATACGTGTTCGTAGCTATAAATTCGTATTCAACCCTTACGAAAAAAACACTCAAGATTTTGGTGTTGACACCCAACTTTGGGTGTTTACACTCCATTTTCGATGTCAACGCCTAAATTTTCACTGTTAACACCGACATTTGAGTGTCGAAGTCCAAATTTTGGGTGTCGACACCAAAAGTTGAGTGTCGACACCGAATCTTTGGTGTCGACACCCAACTTTTAGTATAGACAATCGGGTTTCAGTGTTGACATCCAATTATAAAACAAAAGATAAAAATTATAAAATGCAAGGTTAAAACTTTAACTTATTATGAGGCCACATTATACGCATATCTAACTTTGAATTATATACCCAAGTAGTAAATGGTATTTTTTAAATGTTTTTTTAAATATTTATTTTTCATTAATTATACATTTTACAATTTATTGTAAAAAAATATTTTAACATTTATTGAATATTTATTTTACATTAATTATTTGTTTGAACTAATGATTTAGACGCTCGACAGCACACGGATGTGCCTTTGCTTTGGTGTGCGTTGGCAGCATGTGGAGTGGATGCGCTGCTACCGCATGCGCAGGGGCCATATTCTGTTCGTCGTCAGTGCCGTTAACGGCGTCGGCCTGGTCGGCCATGTTGGCGCAGCTTCTATACAATACGAGAAACCTGCGCAACGACGCTTAATCGAACTGACAGTTATCGGTAGGTAGGAACGGAATACAGGCCCAACGCATCTCCCAATCTCCTCCACATGCTGCCAACGCATACCACAAAGCGAAGGCAAATCCAGAATCGCACATATGTATGTATCTGGTATATTTATAGTCAAGGTCGGTAAATGGACGCGGCGTCAGCGCCGCATGATCGCCATTTTTGCCTCAGTGAGTATAACCGGGTGACGTTTCCGAACGCAGCCTGAGTCTGTATGGTTTATCTATATCTATATATACTTCGAAGTTATATGTATAATGTGACCTCATAATATGTCAAAGTTTTAATAACCTTGCATTTTATAATTTATATATACATACATATATATATATATAAAGATTTTTAAAATGTTTCCTTACGAAAAAAACACCCTAAATAACACCTAAAAAAACACCCAAAAAAACACCAAAAAATAATAGCGTAATTTCGGATACCCAAATGGCGTTTATACCATTTGAGCGTTAACGCCAAGAAAAACACCTAAAAAAACACCATAAAATAATAGCGTAATTTCGGATCCCCAAATGGCGTTTACACCATTTGGGGATCCGAAATTACGCCATTATTTTTTGGTGTTTTTTTTTTGAGGGTGTTATTTAGGGTGTTTTTTTCGTAAGGGAACGACTGAAGAACCACCGAAAAAGCAAATCTGTAAAAGCATGTACGGCTTTCATCGCCTCCTTTTGTGTTATTATTAACTAACTAAACTATCCATTACTTCAAAGAAAAATCGTAATAATAGTTATAACAACCAATGCAAAATTATTGTTAGGGACTTTTTTGCATTTTGGTCGGCTATATTGGATCCGACATCTTGAATTTCTAAATTTCGACTTCACATTCAAAATTAGCGACCTCGAAAACCTCCTAGTACCGAGTTTTATCCGAATCAAGTGACATTTCTGTATTACAAACGGCTATATTTAATCCGCCATTTTGAATTTCTAAATTTCGACTTCACATTCGGAATTAGCGACCTCGAAAACCCCCTAGTACCGAGTTTCATCCGAATCAAGTGACATTTTTGCATTACGGGCGGCCATATTTAATCCGCCATTTTGAATTTCTAAATTTCGACTTCACATTTGGAATTAGCGACCTTGAAAACCCCCTAGTACCGAGTTTCATCCGAATCAAGTGACATTTCTGCATTACGGCCATATTTAATCCGCCATTTTTAATTTTCCGCAAACGCCATGTGACCTTCGAAAGTACATGGGAGTACGAACATTTTGAGCCCTGAAACGATTTTTGGTCGCGAGAAATTTTGGGGATCGTCATTTTTCGGATAAAATGTGATATTTAATGGGGTTAATGGGCTCCCTATTGACCGCCATTTTGAATTTTTTCAAATGCACACTCGGTATTCGAAAGCTAATATGTTTACACAAATTTTGCACCCTGAAAAAAATTTTTAAACCCTCTCAAATTTTGGTCACGGCGCTGATCCGGTTGACATGGAATGTCCCAGATATAATTTAACTGATGTTCTGTATTGACTGGTTCTGATACGTAATAAGACTAATAAGAGACGTTAACGGTAAAATCTTACATAAGATTAAAATATCTGCCGCTGTTATGCCGAGGTTATGTGTTACATCGTCGGAGTTGGTCAAAATTATAAGTAAAAAGCAGTAGCAACCTACCCCGTCACAACCTGCCTCGGCCTGCCATATTTAGATATTTTGATTATTGTTTAAACATAAAAATGTTTTAAGACATTAACATAACTGGAAGTTATTACGTTTAAAGTAAAAATTTTAAAGACACAGTTAGAATTATGATATGATGACCAGATTTAGAAATATAACATTTAATACATTATTCATTTATTTTACTTTTGGCTATGCAAAACTAATAACATTTTCTGTTTGTGGAAATACGCTACTTAGCCTAAAATAACTAATTGAAATATTATCGCAATGTTTTTGCGGAAATACTATATTTTTTATACAATATTATATTTTATCACTTTTACAATAATTGCCGTGTACCAACCTGCCCCATATATCAACTAGCCCCGGTCTCCCCTACTTATTTTTCATTCCTATTGTATGTATGTAGCAAGCTGTAAATTACTTTGGATAACCAAATCTGTTGAGAACAGAGTGTGAAAGTATCTGTTGTAAATTTTGTCGACAGAATGTTAGCAGAAATATAACAGAATCTGGTAATAAACTATAATGTCAAATTAACTGCAAAACTTAAGCAAAATCTGCCATTTTGTAACTATTTTAATTATATATTTCTTTTAAGTGTTTACAAAATAACAGATTTTACTCGGTTTCTGTCTACAATCTGCTGTCAGATTATAATGACAGCAGATACAGTTACAGACTCTACCGATAAAACATAAGTTGCTAATCTGCTGTCATCTGTCATCATAGGCAGTTTGTTTACTAGGATACCATTGATTCGAAATAATTACTTGATTTTATATTTTACTAGACATCACAGACGCGCGCTTCGCGCGCGCTATTTAGCTTTAATATTACACACAACTGTCAAAATATGCTATGACAGCCGCTCACGAAGTTAGCGCAGCAACAGAATCAATCAGCATTGCAGAAAAGAGCCAACAAAGCAATTCGAGACTTTCGAGAAGACTTCGAGAGATGCGAGTATCGATTTAACATGCTTTTTTTTAGAAAGGAAACTAAAAACAAAGCTAGACATCATCACGAATATGACTTTTCATAGTACAATCTAGGCAATCTTTTCTTGTTTTAAGTAATAAAAAATTTTGGAAACAAATATCTCTCTTTTACATAACATATTTTTATTCAAATTCTTATATTGTGTATTGAACTATGATTGGTACTCTATACTTTGATTCAAAATAAATATTTTAATTAACTATAAATGTATTAACAGTATTTTTATTTTTTATATAATATCTTCTTCCCATTGGAGAATATTATAACAAGTTTCACATTTTTCAAGCAAAAGAAAAACAAGATAAGAAAAATAATGTTAGCACTCACTTAAAACATTCCTCTTTTTCAACTTGTCCTTTTTGGAGATATCCTTTGCTTGACGATGTTCCTTGCTATCGGTATGAATTTCATGGTGATCATGCCATTCATTTCGATTGGTGAGACCATTTTGCCAATTTGAAGAACTAGTCCAATATTCATTTTCGTCAGCGTTTGTCATGTCGGATGAGATGGTGCACGTAAGGCATATAGCGGGACGCAAAGGCGATCCCATACGAGGAAGAGCAGAGCTCACGCAATAGAGATGTCTCTGACCCGGTCTCATAAATGGAATACCGATGAAATATCTAGTTAAAACGTAAATTATTTTACAATATTAAATCATTAAGCATTAATTTAACAAGTTTACTTGCGCTTACATAGTATTATTTACTTGGTCCCATACTAAAATCCTAACAACTTCAAATTTTCCATGCGTCAAAGGCACTACTTGTTTTCGGAGCACATTAACCCAAATTATATGTTTGTAATATCCTGCCGGTCCATCTTTTACAGGACTTATTGCGATGTAACTGCTGCCGTTTATGGAAAAAAGAGGGGCTTCTGGTGGAGTATCCACCCATCCACCTTCACCCGATATTCTCTGAATTTCCTAAAATAATTAATTTATAATTTTAACAAGTATTAATTAAACGTACTTGTTTTTCATATTGAATATAGACTTATATAAAAATAAAAAATTGTCATGGCCACATTAAATTTGAAACTTAGAAAACACAGAGGAAAATATCGTATATTTAAGAAATAAGAACAATTAGTTAAATATAGACAGAAGTAAATACAGGAATTATGAATCGAAATACTTATATTTGATTGCGTATATATTGCCTAAAACAAAAGAAAATGGCATTTACCAACCTGACAATGCCACATTGGACTTTTGCAGATGGTAATTACTGAAAAATTCTGAGCGCGCGTCAGCCAAGTTATGCAAATTTCTGTCTGAGATACCCAGGAAGCGGTCGAGAAATAATGATCCCTGACAGAAAAAAACAGAAACGTATTTGAAAGACAATGTCAACAATGATGGATAAATGACAAGCGATGTGCATTATTGGTTTTAGAAGTTTTTAAAATAATGGACACGCACATATTGTATTTTCAAATAAATAATTTTACAAGGATTGCAGTAACTTGATCCAATGTAATGAAAATTTTTGAAATGCAGCTCTCCGGTTGTAATAGCGCTTTTCTTCCATTGTCCTCGACAAGTTTTCTTCCTAATGTCCTTGATATGGTGAAGGTTTTAGATTTGTTGTAATAAATCTTCTAAATGCCGTACTTAAAATTTTGTGCCTAAGTACCCGTATTGCGGAGCAAAAGAAATACAAATGGTAAATTATAATAACTTTTAATAATACTGTGCTAGAAATATGTAATACTCAAGGTTTAATTGTTATGTCTAAAAAACGAAAGTTTTTACTTTAAACAAAGATACAATGTGATTTCACGATATGAAAAGGAGACACTTAAGCACTTCAAAAAAGGCGAGAACGACTTTATTATAAAAGCAAAAAGAGTTCATTATCAGTCAGTTTTCTTGAAAAAATTAAAAAAATCGTATGATCCCCCAATAGCTACGGGCCCAAAGAATAATTATTTACATAATTATTCATTAAATTATCTACAAACCGATAATTATCCATAAAATAATAACTATCTAAAACTTTAAATGTATTTTTTTTAACTATATTTTTAAAATCAAAAGATTTCTCGAGGCTATTGAATGGACTTGTATTTTTCGGTAAAATATTTCCGGAAAAAAAAGATTATATATAATTATATATGATTATATATAATACAATTATATATAAATTTTGTCTCTATATGATCATACCCGGGACAAAACCTCTTATTTGTTCATATTAGTTTATATTAGTAGATATATGATTATATATGATCATATAAGAAATAAAAAATATAATCTTAAACAATATTTTATGGCCATATATGAGAGTATATAATTATATATGGCCATATATGCGCATATTATATACTTGGGAAAAAATACCTCTTATTTGTTTATATTAGTAGATATATAATTATATATAGTTATATAAAAAATTGAAATATAATCTTGAACAATATTATATGGCTAAACCTCTTTAAGTATAACTTATATGGTCATATATGGTCTTATATACTAGTATATTATCATGTGTGATCATGTAAAAGTATATTTATAAGGTTAAAGATAATCATATATGAATATATTCTCTATAATGATTATACTCTGTAATGATTATACTCTATCCGTATAAGTTTGTATAACTGTTATAAATATTCTTCTAGTATATTATTTTACTTGACAATATCAAATTAATATGAGATATTATTTCTAGTTTCAGTTTACACAATTGTGTTTTAAGTCCGACAAAGTCCATATTGGCACGCAGTGCCAATTTAAAAAACAGAAACATGTATTTAATAATAATTGATTGTAAAATATTATTAAGCATCAAGATCCGCTTTGACCGAAAACGGCATTTCTCATTGCTTACGTTATTTTAAGTTTTCTTTTTTTTTCTAATTTTGCATAAGACTTAATTTTTTTAATTGACATATTAATTTTTATTAAATGTTTTCGTAAACAGTGAAATTACCAGTAATAATTCGTGAAAAAAACTGTTTTATATAATATATATTATAGTTCTTATAAACAAATATATTAATCGTATTATTATGCAAACATACTTATAATTTAAACTGAAAATAATATAATCGTATATGAAATGATATAGTCATATAAGATTATATAATATCAAATCAGAATATTGCATCTCAAAGTATTCTATAGATGGGATTCGATGTGATCTGTTTCTCGTATTTAAAATTTGACAAACAGTGTTATAAGAAGAAAGACACGACACTGTGTCGCGCTATTCTCGCGCGACGCTGTCTCAGGCTGGAGTCCCATGGCATGTATTTTCCGCGTAACACGTAACCGCGTAACGAATCAGAAGCGCGAATATGCATAACCGAAAATGTGAAACGCTTCTAATTGGTTACGCGGTTACGCGTTACGCGGAAAATACGTGCCATGGGACTCCAGCCTCAGAGTGACACAATTTTTGTATCATATTGTATTATATTGTGAAGTCCACTCTTATTATAATAAAGTAGCACGCTTAAGGAGGTTCTACAGGTACTCTCTAGTCAGTTGAAAGATGAAGAGAAAATCTTCAAATTCATCAATTCTAAGTATTCATAAAATATTTTCGTGAATTTTGATGACGTTAGAGCTTATATCATACCTATATTAGTCGAAGCGAGGAATAATTAAAAATATATCGTGTAAGTGCTCCTTTGACTCCGGTGGCTTATACATAAGAGAAAATGTGGTAACTTCGCGAATTTAAGTCTCGCTGTTCTGCTCATATGACCGTGGTTATTTCTTATTTCACATAATTCTAGAGCGAGTACTCCTACGTAAGCGCTCATAAAGGTTAGGTGCTTAAGTTTGAGGTGCTGTCATACTGTGGTGCTGTACTGGCTGTACACTTTTCGCGCGGGTGCAGTCGCTGTGACGTTGCCAAATCTCCCTTGTTATTCGAAGCACGTGAACTGTGATATGGCCTGTTTCAATAGCCAATATCACAAAATTTTACGCGGTATGTTTTTCTCGATATTTCTGAAAAGCTTAGATTAAGATCTATAAGAGCTCCGTTTTTTGAATCTCTGGTAGGTTGTCTTTATATAATTAATATCTCGTTTCCTGTCTCCAGGAACCCCTCTGCCATAAGAGCTCATGTTTTAACCTGATTTCAAAATTCATTTTTGCAAATTTTTACACGATAACCAATGCTAAAATTTTTCGAGCACTTCTCTTGCATCTCAACTTCTACGTCCATGAATTTTTAGATACATCTATTATCTGTCAAACCTCCTTAAAAAATAACATTTGAAAATATATAACAATTTTCTAAAACTTATTTAAAAATATATATGTCCTTATATATAATCTTATATAATCATATATGACCATATAAACATTTATCAGGCCAAAATTCATATATGATAAGATAGCTTCTTATATGAGCATATAACACACTATAAGAGATATTTTTTATTTGTCCTTATATAATTTTATATAATCATATATGACCATGTAAGAGTTTATCCGGCCAAATGCGGCCAAAATTCATATATAAGCATATAAGACCGGTTCTTATATGGACATATAAGACATTATAAGGGTTTTTTTCCCGGGATAACTTTGGCACTGCTTGACGTGAGACATTTTTATACCACTGTTTGTCAAATTTTAAATGCGAGAAACGAATCCTATTGAATGCCATCTATTGGATAATGCGAATTTAAAGTTTATATATGATTATATATAATCATATATAATTTACATAGATAAATGCTTCTTATATATAATTTATATATAAATTATATAAACTTATATATAATATGTCAAAATGTGTACATAAAACATTTATATATATTTAAATATATATATTTTAATCGTTTGTATAATTATATATAATCATATAGAATTATATATACTTCTATATAAACTTTATATGTATCCATACATGAATGCATATATGATCTATTGTTCATATCTAGTTATATTTGAAATTATATATGCCCATATATAATGATATATGGAACCATATATAATTTTATATAAAGCACCAAATTTCATATATAATCACATATAATCATATATATTCATATATAATTGTATATAATTATATATAATCTATATTTTCGGGTGGCCACATAATATTGTTTAAGATTATATTTTTCATTTCTTATATGATCATATATAATCATATATATACTAATATAAACTAATATGAACAAATAAGAGGTTTTTTTTCTTAGGTGTCCGAGAAAAATTACCTCTTATTTGTTCATATTAGAAGATATATAATTATACTAGCTTGATACATCCGTGCTTCACTACGGTATGCAAAAGATTCTATAATTCACCCCCAAATTTAAATTTGCCTCTTTAGGGGTTGATTGGGGCAAAATCTTGAATTATGTTTTAAGCATTTGTATGGGTAACCTTTCTAAACAAAAACCAAGTCGATATCTCATCGGGCCTAAGAGATATTGAAAAATCCGTGAAAACACGTTTTACCCCTTTTCACCACGTTAGGGGTCAAATTTCTAAAAATCCCTTTTTAGTGGGTGCTTACATCATGAAAAAAATATACTCCCCGATATTCATGTTTCTAGGTTTAAGAGTTTGGGCTGGGCGTTGATGAGTCAGTCGGAACATTCGATTATATATATATAGATAGATATGGTCATATAAGAAATGGAAATATAATCTTGAACAATATTATATGGCTATATAATACTTTATTTCAGCTATGTGCCAAGAAAGGCGTTTTTTTTTTTTTCAGTAAAAGCGTACTCAAAAACCTTTACAAGTTACAGCGTACAAATAAACCTATGTTCCCTTAATAACCTGGCCATTGTGCGACCTCACAGAATTAGTTCACCCTTTTCCCTTATTAACCCTATTGACATCTTCCTCCATATCCTTCCTTCTGCTCCTTCTAGTTCCTGTAGCTCTTTCCTCCCTTTCCTTTCATCTGTTTTCCTTTGCAAGTTTTTTCTCTTATCTTCCTTCTGTCTCGTCTCTTCTGTCTCCTGTCGTTCCTCCCCTCCAGACTCAGCGTCTTCTACAACAATCATAACAGTAAACGAAAAGAGACAAGACACTTACAAAGCCCTCACTCCTTCTCTCTCTCTACCCCCCTCTTCACTCTCTCCTGTAACTGCTCTTCCTTTTCCTTTTTCCCTGTACTCTCCTCACATTTTCCGCCATTCCTTCCTATCTTCGTTCCAGTATATCTCTCTTCCATTGATCCACAAACGACTACTCGTGGCTGAATTTTCTAGTCTTCTCTCTTTTTTTGCCTTTTCTTCTATCCTCCATCTCACGTGTCTTTTCTCTCTAGTCAGTTCCTCGTCCATAGTTACCCCCCATCTCTTCTTCATTTCCCACCGTTT